TGATGTGGCAAATCTGGCATTTGTCATGACCAAGGGCAGCCTGGGAGACACCATCATCAACTTAACGATGTAAACAAAGTAATAATTCAAATAAGCTCTCCTACTTGTTTCCTCCCAGTCTTCCCTGCATTCCTTCTCCACAACTTTACAGCACACGTCTTTACTTTGGTTTATAAAGAGAAGAAATAGAGCTGGATGATAATCTAAAGTAAAATTTGAGCATAATCACTGTATACAGCAGTAAAGAAAAAGCAAAATATATAATAAATATATAATACAATGTAAGATTTCATAAAGCATTGAAGTGGTCACTGGTGGAATCTTTGATCTAATTTTCTGTTTCCATTCTATTACAATCTAATTCTCTCTCTTTTATAAATAGAAGTTAAGAATCTGTTTATCCGGGTCCAACTAGGAATGAGACGGATAATCTGAAAGATTAGTTCAGATCATACCAAACTGAAAGACTGCTGGATTAAGTGGTCAGGGCTGGTAGTTGGTGAGGGGGGATTTGTGGAGCTGTGTTTGGTTTGTTTTTTTAGCTGTTTCTGGGCTGTATTCTTGGTGCGTTTAGAAACAATAGGCGTTGCAGTAAGGGAAGCTTTGATGTATTGCTTTTCTTGGGGAAACCTGATTACTTAATTCTCTCTGAATGAGTGAGTGATTATGCCTTTGAAATTGAGGAATTACATTGTGCGTTTCCTGTAGGTACGCTACTTGATCTGCTTAAGCACGCATATTTAAAGGTTAGTTCAAATGTGTTCTCTATAGAAAAGTTTAAATCTAAAACAGCATCTTTCTTTGTTTTGTCTCCAACTGGAGGCTACTTTTCAGAAAAGATTTTACTACCTAATCATTTCGAGGAAATTTTGTCTGTTGTTACTGTTTACATTGTTGCAGTCGTATATGGTTATATGGCATAGAGAACAATTCAGCAGTGGAAATGAATATTTAAATTACACTGCATGAGAAGAAAATTTTGAAAAAAATAAAAGTAAAGTAATGGGCACCTGTGATTTATAAACGGCACCCACAGCAGCATTTCAGTAACTAAAAACAGTGATGTCTTTGACAGAGCACCAGTTTGATATTGTGTAGTTACTTGATATTGAATGAAAAGTAAAAAGAGAGGAGAAAATTACAGACGGTTTTAGGCATTCTCGGTCTGAATGGATCATAAGACTGTTGTTTGAAAACAGCAAGTCATACAATTAAGTCCTTTGTTTCTTTCCATCATCTGAAACCACTCGTGTAATTCAGTAAGTTCTGGTTTCCCGGCACCCACATCTCCACTGATCTCACCTGAACCCCCAACACCAACGCCCTGGTAAAGCAGGCCCAACAGCAGCTGCACTTCCTTTGTGTCCTGGGGAAGAATATCCTGGACCTCTGATCGGGCCTCCGGTCAATCAGGTCCAACACCTCCAGGATCATAAACAGGTTCTTCCCCTGGGGCATTCACACTGTTAACAAACACCATCAACCCACACCCCACCCCACCTATCTGAGCCATTGTCTGAGAGTTACCCCAATCACTCAGGCCACTCAGTCTTTCCCACTCAAGTCTTTGCACTGCTTCCAAGCAGTTTTCAGCTATTCTCTTCTATAATGTGTGCCTTTCCCTTATTTTTGTATATATTTCTCCTGTTTTCCATTTATTCCTGCCGTCTACTATTTGTATTTTATTCTGACACAGTTGGTGTGGAGCACCTACAATTTAATTGTACATCTACAATGACAATAAAGGGCTATTATATTCTATGGCGCAAAAAACTGCTTGTTTGGGGCAATCTCATTAAAATGTGAGGGACAAGAAGACATTTAATTATCTAATATTGGCTAGCTACATAGAAACAGGGCAGTATTACCTTTGTTGGAAAAATATCTTAAGCATGAATCTGATCAAAACTTAATTTCAGGGCAATCAAACATACCTTCATTTTAAAAGGCAGATCATTCGACCAGTGATGTGGTCACTGCACTGTGGAGCAGACTTAGGAAAAGTGTGTTTGCAGTCCTGTATGCTTCTAGCAGATGTCAGCAACCTGAGTGGCTGTTTGAATGAACACCTATCCAGGATTTTGATCAACCTGTTCTGCAAACAAAAGCTAAATATGTAGTATATTTGTCACTTAAATGTGTTCTATTTTAAATTTAGGCTTATTTGACCATAGAATGAGAAACTTCACCTAATGATAGAGATGAAGCCCAAGGATTAATTATACTTTTTGCATCTGCGAGTCTGCCAGATCCAAGTAAATATATGTAAATTCGTCATCACAGTCAGTATGGACATTTGTGTGTCTGACAATTTTTGTGACTGTGCAAACTTGTTTGTGGAGACTTTACATTATAAACCATGCACGCACCCCAGGTGATGGACATCAAAGAAGTAGAACAGGAAGGACTACTCGGCCATCACGCCTCCAGCTGTCCATGTCTGTAACAGACTATAATAAAAGCTTTAATCTTCCCACAGGGGTTGAGCGATTTACTCCATAGCTCATGATCATATTGGCGCCCTGTGGCATTGATGATAATGCACAATATCTGGCCGAAACACAAAAAAACAAAAACAAATATAACACACAATAGCATGTGGGTGAGAGAGCAACACAGGTGGACAGATCAGCTGAACAATTAAAATACTTTTAAGTCATTACATTTACACAGCTCTGCACATAGCTTGGCTACTTCTGTTTTTATCTGTGTTCAAACTGGCTCACCTGTGTCTATTCTGCTCCCCACCATGCCCTCTCCATACATACAGAGTTCTTCACAGATCAGTTTGGGGGGGAAAAGGATGGAGATGGGATAAACATGTGTGTTTCTAAGTGGACAGTCATTGTGCTTTAGTTTAAAAATCATTCTCAGACAGCTTGTGACATGAAGCCATGAGGAGGCAGATTCAACTTATCATCAACCTCATAATAAAGATAATATTGATTTAATGCAGTGGAAAATAGGGAAATAAGGTGAGCATCACTGTTCACTTTTGATCTGACTTTGTCATCACACTACATTTCAAAACACATTTGAAGAAAATTCACATGAAATTTTGCCAAATGTCCTGCTGCTGACAAATAGACAAGTGATTATCACCTGTTGGGTAAAAAGCAAGTTATCTTTAAGTGGGCGGCCCTTGTATCCCAAATGCTGCACGTTGACCTGCAATTTTTTTTTTCTTGAATAAAATACAAATACAGCACGAGTAGCCCATCAGCCCATCTGCATTAGTCTCAGTCAGATGTAGCAAAGTCCCATTTTCTGCAGACAGTATGTGGGCTGTGTGAAAGCATATTGCCTGCTGTGCTGACCTGAAGATTGGGCTATAAGTTGGTTATATTACTTCCCCCTGCTGCTTTCTTGGCTGCCAAATGTCAGTCTGCCACAGTTTTATCCAGGAATAGTAGATTACTTCATAGGCTTTGGTCTTTTAAGTAGAAACAGAGACTCTTTAAACCATAAAGCTTCCGAGGGAGCCTAAAGTCTCACCCAAAGTCACAAACACAACAGTAATAAAACGTCATCAACAAGAAGTCCTGTAACATATGTTTCATGTCTAAGATGGTCTCTAAGATGGCTTATCCATGCTGCTGTGGTCTAATCTTGTCCCATTATACTAAGAAGCTTGTTTGAACAATCTTCTAATGCGCTAAGATGCATTCATGCAGTCTTTTGGTATCAGACCAAAGGTTATTACCTTAGCCTTCACTTTGATAGGCTTTTCTAAATTAAACAAGTAAGCAGAGTTTTAATAAGATGTTTTGTGGAAAAACCTGAAAAGTCAAAAAAAATATTTTTTTTTCTTCTTTTTTTAAGTCTGACTCAATTACACTTAAGTATCCATTCTAATTTTCAAAAAGTAAAATGTTTTGACCTTACATCTTTAAAGTCTGAGGGTAAAATCCTTGGTTATAATAGTTAAGGATATTCAAATACCAAAAATTCATTAGCTGTGTTTCTTTCTTCTGACAAGTATCTGAAATAATCAATTTGATTATTCATTATTTCTCCAATATGTGTATTTTTAGAGATAACCTCACCTAGAATAATGGTTTTCATTTTGATTGGAGAAATATGCTTAATAGCTTCACTAATTATACAGTGACCTGTTTTGGATGCCATCGTTAGCTGATAGAAACTAATTAGGCAGAAAGAAAGATTGGTTTGAACAAGCTTGTTAGTGTGCAGTCAGTTGTGAAAGACAAACCTGGGGATGAGAGCCCAACATATGGCTAGAACAAAACTGTGAGGGGATATGTTGTTGTGTGTAGCTGTTTTGCTGCATGGGTGTAGGTGGGCCAATTTGAGCTTGTTGCTTGTTGTTCGTGTAAGCTTGTGATTTTACACGTGTTTGTTTGAATATTTCTTTCACATTTTACAGGTTTGCCACGTTGTGCTTATGGAAGGTCTACAAGTAATTAATGCAAAAGTAATCAATTAAATGCCCTTTATAGTGACACTCTGGATGTGTGTGTGAGTGAGAGAGAGCGAGAGACTGAGTATCACATATGGCAAAGGAAGTAATGCAACTCCTAATGTCTGCAGATTAAGACTTGTGTCATTATACCCTGAATCTGAACTTTGTAATGTCGTAGCACTGCCTAGTGGTGAGGCAGAATGTCTGTTATTTAACAGATGAGAGGTGAGGACCTGTGAACCTTTTAAAAGCCTTTTATGGCCTGTCATAATTTCCTTGCCATTATTGTCAGTGAATAAATTGACTAACTGAATCTGGTAAATGCCAGAGCTTGCAAGCTTGATTTAAAAAAAAATACTTGGTTGAAATCAGCAGCATTGAGTTGACCTGCAAACTGTAGTTTAGAAGCCAACAAAATCTTCCAGGGAGTGTATTTTACCCCCTTTTTAAGTCAAATAGATGGAACTGTAGTACTATGGAATTAGTACCCATACACTCTTTCCTTGCTTGAGGCTGCTGTTCCTCCAGCTCACTCTAAGAACAAGCTATTGTTTCTGTCCATCTCTGTTTCATTCAGATCCAGTTCACGGTCCTCAAAATGTCAATGTGGTGGATGTCAGAGCCCGCCAGCTGACAGTACAATGGGAGACTTTTGGGTATGCTGTGACACGCTGCCACAGCTACAATCTGACGGTAAGCACAACCATTATTTATTCTCCACCTTTAGGGTATTATGTGGAATTAATAAGGACCGGGAGCAGAGTTTATGGAAAAAAAATCAACTGCCAGTTAACTTTATTATTTTTCATATCTTTCTGTTTTTTATGATAGTTTGATGATAGATGGGAAATGTGGGAACGAGAGCAGGGGAATGCATGTTGTAACTGGCTGAAAGCTGACCTGAGGACTTGTCACAGTTTTTGTCCATGCTTTGGATAGAACATTCTTTCAAGAGATATGACCTTATCTAATGTTTTGATGATTGCGGTGGAAAGTGGTGTCAAACACAGGACGTCCCAGAGGCGATTCGCACATTACTCACGGAATCACTCAGTAGCTCCTTTTCCCCTATGGATAGCCGTCCTGATAGAGACCACATAGAAATAAATGTTTTACCATTGAAACATTTACATTGACATTGATTTACATTGACCCTTCCCCTAGTAGACTCAAACAGTGAGTCTCCAGATCCTCTTATTGTATGCTACAAAGATCAGACCCCTGAGTCTAAGGAGCTTGGGAAGAAAAGCGTCTGGACTTCTTGAAGTTGCTTGAAGATGTTTCACCTCTCATCCGAGAAGCTTCCTCAGTTCTAGGGTCAAATGGTGGAGAGTCCCAGATTTAAGCCCTGTGAAGGTACCTCCTAATGGAGCCCCTAATGATCCTCTACCTAATCACATGAGCCAAGGTGTGAAAACGGGTGTAGGTCACAATCAGCCAAGGTTTCGGGTGAGCTTAACATTTGCCAATGTGAACACGATGACTACGATGACCTGGATGACCTGGATGACCTGGATGACTGAGAACCTTCACAGACATCAGACTCCTGACTTTTTTTTTACTATATTGTTATCATTTTATTAATATTTCCCATGCATATTACATGAGGGCAGCTCTGGATTTGTCACTATTATTGTTAACCAAAAACCAAAATCTCCCATGATTCTTCTTGTGCTTTCCAGGTGCAGTACCAGTACGTGTTCAACCAGCAGGAGTTTGTAGCTGAAGAATTAATCCAAACATCATCACATTACACTTTGAGGGGACTGAGGCCATTTGTGACCGTTAGGCTGCGGCTTGTCCTGGCCAACCCTGAGGGCAGCAAGGAGAGTGAAGAGATAGTCAAACAGACGGAGGAGGATGGTGAGTGAAAGCCCCGATTGGAAAAATGTATAAGCATGTTTATTAGCATACTTTATAATGTAATATTGAGCCAACATATTACCAGACGGCAGGGCTGGACGGGGACAAGAAATGGGCACTGGCATTTAACCAGGTTGGTACAGTTGTTGTTGGGTTATTTCTTAGTTGCACTGCAGCATGTGACATTAATTAAAAGCAGCATAAATAAAAGTTAGAAATTAGCAACGGCTCATGGTCATAGCCATTCATTTTACCTGAATGGTGCTAGCAGCAGCAACCTCCTGTGTCTGTGAGGCCTGCTTACTACTTGTTGTTGGTACTACTGTTCATGGTGCAATTTGACACATTTTGCTGCATTCATTGTAGTTTCTTTTTATTGTTTTCTCTCAGCTTTCCAGCTCCACCTTCTCGCCCCTTCTTCCTGACAAAATGTTTTCTACATGGTGCATGAGTGCACAGCAAATGTAGGGGAGTGGCCTGTCGCATTAAGAGATTGGACAATCCAGTGTCAGTAATGAAAATGAACGAATGGGCTGCTGTCAGTTCTTGTACAGCCAGTACGAAGCCTATTGGTCCAAAAGTGCGTTAGCCTGCCGGGAAAGTGTTCGGTGTGCTAGATTACCAGTCCAGGCCTGAAGTCAGCTATTCCTGGGACAAATCCTCTGACTTTGTCCTGGGAGAAATAAGCATGATTTTATTTCAAGGAAAATTTGAACCTTAAGTTAGATAAATGGTTGACAACAGGTCTGTTAATAGGACACCTTATTAACAGGAAGAGACCAGGTGCATTCTGTAAAGACAAATAAAACATGATCCCAGATTGTTTGTTTCCCGGGTTATAAATCGCAAATGTAAAACAGTTGTTTCAAACAAAAGTTATTAATGTGGTTTCTTATAATAAGACTCACAAACGTCACACAGAATTTTTATATCAGCTATAATCAGAAAGTAAAGTAATCCATGAGACTGCGTTAAGGAAACAGAACAACAATTACAAATAAAGTAAAAATACACTCACACAGGTTTGATCTTTGCCACGTTCAAATTACACAATAAACATGGATGTCTTAGCAGTAGACTTTTGAACAGGATTTTTTTTATAGTACATACTTTGGAGCCTAAAAGCATGCATTATTTGGTAGGAGTTATTTCTAAACAACCACATTTTAAACTTGTTCCTTCCTTTTCTTTCTAGAGGGCTCCATGTTCTACTAATTCAGAACATAGTGTATACCCTCGCCACAGCTAGTAATAATTCATTGATGCTTCACATTTCTCTCAACAACATGCCTGCGATAAAGTGGAATAGCATTAGAGCAGTGCCTGATAAGCAGGATAAAAACATTGTTCTAATGATCCCAAATCTCTTATCTCTTTCCCGCCCTCCTCAGGGCTCACTGTTCTTCTCCTGATCTCATAACTAATATTCTCTGAATTTAGCTTCTGGGGAACATCACATCTCAGTCTGAAATTCCTACCTTTGCTAGACGAGCACACGGATAATATAAGTTGCCTGAACCCTTAAAATAAAAAAAAACTAACATGACTGGGGAGTACCAATGGCTTCGAGGGGGTAGGGGAAAAAGGCTTAATTGTTTTGTTCTTAATTGTTTTTTATTTAACCATCGTTAATCTCCTGGTTGTAATTCAGTAATTAGGGAACAGAACAGCAATTGTTCACATGGAGGCTAATTACTGTTTGTATGGTAATAGCTTTATAGAGCTGGGGCTCCTGTGAGTGAAGCTTTTGCTCTCTCACATGCACATGCATAAACATATATGGTTTTCCATTTTTTTATTGTGCTCATACTATAAAATGGAAATAAACTTGAGCCTGTGTTTGGGGATTTGCAATTAAGACATGAAATTACTTTTCGCTTACTCACAAGGACCATGCTCTCCTAGTTTGTGAAAGTAATCTCAGGATAAGAGCAATTTTAATAATGCCCTCTTTAATTGTTTTACCTTTCAGATTATAGCATATTAACATGCACATACACACAGTCTATCAAATCATATTAAGTCATGAATGTTTTAGCTTTAGCTCACTGTGAGGAGACCACCACTATTAGGCTGACACACCTATTAGTGTAGAAAAAGAAAAACAGTTTCTTACTGTCGTGCTGCTAAGAAGATAAAGGTTTTTCATGTTTACTCTCTTTGATTATATTTGGCTTGAATACTGATTTTCTCATAAACTGGCTGGACTACCATTTATAAGCACTTCGCAAAATGTGCCTTTCTAACCTAAAGTTGTCTACAAATTATAATAACAATTACAGAAGAAGCAACAACAAGACTGCTGAGGCAACTTGTGAAACTTTCTTTAAAAATAGCTAATATGACATTGCTACCTTTCAAAGAGAGTTACGATCCAGTATTGTATATGCTATTTGATAAGCATTGCTTATCAAAGCCATTGCTCCTTGATAAAAGGATCGGCAGAAAGAGGTTCTGTACAATGACCGGAGTAATGAAGTAATACTAATGTTTTCCATCATCTCACTTAACAAGAATGATGCCTATAACTACAGCCACTGTACACAAGATGTAAATCACTTCTTAAAATTCTCTATATAGATAAAACTATTAAAAGCTACACAAGACTAAAGCAGATAAAAATTAGGACCTTGCCTTTCACTGTCAAACAGAGGCAGGTTCCCACTACATCACATCATGCCAGGGCAGTAACTTAATCACTACTATGTTTGTGTTCCTCAAGCTCGGTTCCTAAAGTGCCTGTTGTTTTTGACCACCTCACATCGGGACTTCTAATCCATATTCAGTCCTGTTGGCTGTGGCCTCTATCAATCTGGTGTTTAGGGAGCGTTCACGTGTTTCCATGATCAGAGTTTCTGTGTCATTTTGCTTTTGCTTTTCTAGTTCCTGGTTAGTTTTCTTAATGTCCGTTACTTTCTTAGGTACTTGTAACTGTCCTGCATGTCCACTAACCTGCCCTCCGGAAACCTAATGACCTACAGATGAAGGACTCAACTGGCTGAGTTGTAGCTTGTCTTGTAGTCAATTCAGGTGGTCCTCAGATTGACTCCCTGGTCTTAAGAGAGGTATATTACTGTATCAACTAGTAGCTGGGACTTTGACCCTCTGGTGCAAAAGAGGGTCAAAGAAAAAAAAACATGTTGTAAAGAGGGAAGAATTCTGTTGACCCTTGCCTTTCTGGTATATCTCTTTGGCCTGGTGGCCAGAGACGTGATCCTTTGTTTGGCACTCTCTATAGCATCACTTATGGAAATCTTGTTGTTCTTGTTAAGTGGATCTGTGAGTCTGCATGGGTCCCCCTTGGGTCCCAGTGACATAATGCTGTCATAATGCTCTTCGGCTCCTCTCTTAATGTTCTAATGTCTTTGCAGGATTCCTTGATTTCAGTGTCCAGATGTCTTCTATATGGGGAGCTGTTTGTGCACACATTCTTGATCTTTATACCCCGGTGTTTCTTGGATTACTGTGACAGTGGTAGTTATTACTCATTGATTTCTGTAATATTAGTAGAAGGGCTTGTGAGTAGAGCTCTGTTAATATCTCTAAGCATCTCTTATGGACTTTGTTTGTAAGTGTATTCATGGGTGTGTGGCTGTCTTTAGTATAGCCATAATTTTCATCCTCAACTCAGTAATGCATAGGAGTCATAGGAGATCATAGAAGGCGTTTGGGCATCATATTATGGCGGCTCTGACATCCACCACATTTACAGTTTGAGGACTGTGAACTGGATCTGAATAAAAGAGAGATGGACAGAAACAATATGTTGTTTTTAGAGTAAGGAAGAGTGTATGGGTACTAATTCTATAGTACTACAGTTATAATGATAATAATAATGGATTGCATTTATATAACGCTTTTCGGGACCCCTCAAAGCGCTTTACAAT